TTTAGCATGCAAAAAAAAAAAAAAAAATGCCAACAACGTAAGTTGATCAGAAGGCCAACAGACCCAACCATTCACTAGGCAAATAAAGACTGGCCCTCTGAATCAGAACACAATTCTGGGAAGGAAAAGGTTTAAAGATGTCCCAGACTCCAGCAAAGAAAACTCCAGGCAAGTAAAATGACAGTTTACCTTTACCAAACAGCTTATCGACTGATCTTTATGTAAATAATATTGCAAAATTTACAAAGCCCCTCGTAAATCTCAACACTATTTTTACATATTAGGAAAAAATAAAGGCCAAAAACAACACCAATAACTCAATTAAAATAACTCATGCTTGTGTTTACATAAAATTTGATGAGAATAATATGTCACTCCACTGCAATTATTCCCTGAAAATAATACTCTAAATATTATTTTGACAACATAATTACAGTTCTTACCTCAAGAATGGTAACAAAATACTGGCACAGTTACCCTGTTAAAAATTTCCGTAAGGTTCTCAAGAGAAAATATCAAAAGATGGTATGGGTGCTTTACAAAGAAGATTTTTTTATAAGATTGTATTTGCTTTGAACTTATACACTATAAAAAAATGTTAAGTTTCTTGTTGAATCCAAATAAAACTCAGTAATTTTACCAAAGTACCTTTTGCAAGAAGATGGCAAGAAATATTTAACTTTCACTTTTCTTCTTGTCTTGGTAATATCGAACTCTGCCACTGAACACGGGTTAGCTGCTTAAAACTGATACAACTGAAAAATTAGGGACCTAAATAAATGGAAAGTGCTCCATCTTCATGGACTAAAATACTCAGTAGTGTTAGGATGGCAAATCTCCCCAAACTGATCTACAGATTTGAGATAACTCAGTATTTGCAATATATAAATAACATGTATAGCTCAACAATAAAACAATACCACAATGAAGCTCTAAGCAAAAGACATAAATAGACATTTCTCCAAAGAAGATCTACACACGCAGATGTTCGACATCTCAGGCCACTGAGAAATGCAAATAAAACCAGGTACCATTACTTCACACCCACGCAGGAGACAAATTCAACAGTGTGAGCAAGGATACAAAGAGACTCATATACTGTTGTGAAAAGTAAAGCGGCTCAGCTTTTAGTTTAGAGGCACCTCAAAATATTAAACATAGAGTCGTCACATGACCCAGCAGTTCTAATCCTAAGTACACACCTAAAATGAACTGCAAATTGGAACTCAAACAAAAAACAAAAAACAAAACCCCATGTACATAGAGCAGCATTACCCATGATAGTCAAAAGATGAAACAACCTTGTTTTTCAAACAATAAATGTATGAACTCGGCACATTCGTACAACAGAGTATTATTCAGCCAAAAGGAACAAGGTTCTGATGCTAAAGAAGCCAGGTGCAAAAGGCTAAATGCTTCTGATTCTGTTCTATGAAATATCCAGAATAGGTTGAGTACAAAGAGACAAATGCAGAATTGTGGTCATCAGGGGCTGTGCAAAGGGAAAATGGAGAGGTGTTGTTTACTGAAAAGTTTCCTTTTGGAGTAATGAAAATATTTTTAATTCGGCAGAAGTGATGGTTGTACAATATTGTGAATGTACTAAAGGCCACTCAGTTGTTCACTTTAAAATGGATCACTGTTATAAAAACCAGTCCACAAAAATATATTAATTAATAAACTGATATAACCACAACTACCTAAGTTGTGAACAATTGGTACTAAATAGAAAACAGGTCGATAAAGATCTATTCTCTCTGCCACCAACCAACATACTGCTACATGACGGACTAGATCCTAAAAACTGTTTCCAGTAAGTTTGTCTCACGTCATCTCCCTGCTTCAGTGGAAGGAAACCTGGGAAGGAAGGATGAAATAACTGTGTATCATATATAGGCACCATCAAAACTAAATACATCTTTCGCAGGAGATTTGGGATGGCACAGAAAGAGGGTGTGGAGTCAAGGAAGATATTTTTAAGAAAGAAAGTCAAAGAGAGCTTTAGATTCTGATGCAAAGGCTGAGGAGAGAGGGGACCCTGAAAGCTGCTGAGAGGAGGGGAGGTTTCCAGAGAAGAGCACCTGCTGGGTAAGCAGGGTCCGGATGTGGGGCATCCAAAGAGGGGCTGGCGGGGCTCTAACAGTGCGTAATCACTTCTGCCCTGCTTCTTTAGTTAGGAATGCACCACTGAAAGAACACATCCCTAGAAGAACTACTCCTGCCCACAGGGCTCTAACTCTGCCCATGATGACAAAGCACCCACATCGGAATTTTCCAGCCACGGTAAAAGAGGGTGCATCCTCAACTTTCCTGCTACTCTGCACACCGACTTGGAAAACAGTGGCCTTGCCACGCAACATACTCAAACAGGGACGTGGCTGTTGATTTCTAATCCCCCAATTTTGAGTGCCTGAGGCTTCCGTTTTATTATGAAATGGAGCTACAAAAATCCTTCTAAATACAAAACCTCTTAAAAACACTTTTCAACTAAATCCTACATCCTATCAATTTCTTGAAATATTTACAAAACTACTGTTGCTCAGAAAAACATTGTGTGCGATTCTTAGATGATGTAATTATTTTTTTAATTACCATTTCCCAAAGGATAATTTACAAATCAAACAGAAAGAGCCAAGAATTTTAGCAAACTGAATTTGAAATGAAAACACCAAGAAACCACAAAACAGAAAAATTAAACCATGCTAGGCAGCACCTCTACCACACAATTTCACCTCTGAGCTTCAGTTTTAGTCCCTGTAAAAAGAGACTCACCTCTATTTCTCACCACCTGCCAAGAGAAGCAGCATTTTAACATTAACATAATCAAGCCTCATATAGCAGGATTAAAATGTGTACATAGGGCCAGGAATTTAGCTCAGTCATTCTGCCACCGCTTCATCAAGTGTAAAGTCCTGAGTTCAATCCCCAGTACCCCAAAAAACAAAAACAAAAACAAACTATGTAAATCAATTTATATGAGGTGTGATTGAAAAAGTGTTTTAAAAATTTTTAAATTATTACAGTAAAGGATACATTTCCATTAATCCCTTTAAAAATACTTACTCCCCCTGACTTTGAACACACTTCCTCTATTGTTTTTGCCATTTTTCTAAAGCAGTTTTCCAAGTCCTCTTAGTCCTCGCACAGTCCTCTTTAGTTGCCCTGTCATGCTGCCTTGATGTGCTGAATCAATTCAAAAGATTTCCCTTTCGTAGTCTTTTTTTTACTTCCAGGAAGAGCCAGAAGTCACCCAGTGTAAGGTTTGGTGAATCAGGTAGATGTAGACACAGTGCAACATTTTTATGAGTTTGCCTTTTGCTTGAATGGCACACATCAGCACTATTCACCATATTTATGATCATACCTCATAAAGGCACTCACTAAATATTTATGTTAAGATTTTATCAAATAATTTAGATTTATCCTACAATATCTCAATTCCTTGGATAAGAGGTCATATACAAAATCCCTTGATGTTTTTCACATTCAGATAATAACCCTCGTCCAAAAGAAGTGTTGAGGTTCATAGTATGATGACTAAAAAACATTCAAAATAGTTCAATAACCTTCCAGCTCCTCAAGCAAAGCAGCTTGGTATTTCTCTTAATCAACATCTACTAACAATCAGAACTAACTTCCCTTTCTGTATCTAATCTGTACTCAACAGATTTAATATCTGGTTCCCCACGCTGGAATGTGAGCTCCTGAGGGCAGAAATTTTTGTCTGTTTTGGTCACTGCTGGAATCATATCCAAACCTACTGAGGGCCTGCCACACCCACAAATTTCAGAAGATAATATATTAGACCACTTGAGCTGCCATCATGAAGAGGCAAAGACCGGGCAGCTTCAACAACAGATGGTTACTTAAGTTCTGAGGCCTAGAAGTCTAAGATCAAGGAACCAACAGCACTGTCTCTTCTGTGACCTCTTTTTGGCATCAGCTGGCCACCTTCCCCCTGGATCTTCACATTCTCTTTATTCTGTGTCTATGTCACACTCTCCTTTCAAGGACATACCTGATGTCCTCTCCGTAACTACCCCCTTTAAAAATCTATCTCCAGGTACAGAATTATCCCAGCTAGGACCCTCTATGGTTTGAATGCTTGTGTTGCTCCCAAATCCAATGTTAAAATTAAATCGCAGGGTCTTGGTGGGAGGAAGTGGCCCCTGAGGAGTGAGTAGGTCCTGGGGTTAATACTCTTGTAAGAAAGAGGTCAGAAGGGGCTCTTACCCTTTGCGTTTCTTCCACATGAGGACAAAGCAAGAAAGTGACAACTTGAAGGCAGAGAGCAGCCTCACCATACACTGACTCCAGTGCCCTGAGCTCAGACTTTCCAGCCTCCAGAACTATGAGCAATAAAACTTCTAGCATTTACCAATTACCCAGGATAAGTACACTGTGTAGCAGCCTGAACAGACTAAAGAAGACTGCAGTGTAACAAGGTGGGAAGAAGTCAGACAAGGTGGTGCACACCTATAAGACCAGCTACTCGGGAGGCCGAAGAAAGATCATGGGTTCAAGTCCCAATCTGAGCAAGTTATCAAGACCTTGTCTCAAAATAAAAAATAAAAAGGACTCAGGATACATTACTTGCCTCACATGCATGAGCCTTAGGACCCCAGTACTACAAAAAAAATAAAAATAAAAAAATAAGAAAGAAGGAGGAGGAAGAGGAAAAAGAGGAGAAGATAAAGAAGATCAAGAAGAGGTCAAGGAAGGGAAAAAACACAACTCAGTCACTGCAACTTTATTTATTTTTTTATTTTTTTAATTTTTTGTACCGGGGATCAAATTAGGGTCCTTGCACTTGTGAAGCAGACACCGGAACCACTGAGATAAATCCCCAGCTGCAACTTTATAACTCACTAATGTCTCACTAGTGAAGTTTCCCTAGCTCATGAAATACAGAACATGTGCATCCATGGATGATATTACCAAGCACTGGTTTAAAGCCTTTTTGCAAGATATAAATCCTCCATGACCTTATTCAAAATTACCTGTCAACAGGGCATCTTGCTCCACTCGCAGTTCACGAAACAGAAGAATCAAGTCAACAGCAACGCCAATCGTATCCAAGTTCCTGTGTCAGGTTTTAAAAAGACAAAATTAGACATGTCCTTTCCTAAAACTGCATTTCCAATGGTGATTTAATTCATGATGCAGACACAACTGGCAAATAGTTCCTGTGGTGGGCAGAATAACAGCCTCCAGAGAAATCCACATCCTAACCTCCCAAGCCTGTGGATATATCACCCTATGCTACAAAAAGGACTACAAAGACAAGACCAAACCAAGTATCTTGAGGTGGAAAGACTACTCTGGATATAGGGGCACCCGATATTATCACAAGCATCCTTATAAATCAGAGCCAGGGGGAATGAAGATATGGACCAAGGAACACAGCAGCCTCTGGAAGCTGGAAGGCAAGGAAACAGATTCTCCCTTAGAGCCTCCAGAGGGAATGCAGCCATACTGACCCCTATTAGCCTTTGGAATCCCAGGACAGTAAGATAATAAATGCATGCTGATTTAAACAATAAAGTTTTTGGAATTTGTCAAAGCAGCAAAGTAAACATACAAATTTGGGTAGAAGGAATAGGGTGCTGCTTAACAAATACCTAAAATGTAGAAGAGGCTTTAGAATTGGACAAGGAACAGAAGCTAATAGAACTCTTAGAAATAGGACTGAAAAAAGCCCACAGTTGCCTTGAGCAGTCTGTTGGGTGAAAGAGGGGCCCTGCAGGACTGATGAGGACAGCACGGAAGGAAACAAGCAGCACACCATTAGAGACCAGAAGGAAACAACAGGCATGCCATCAGAGACCAGAGGACAGTGACCCCTGCCACACAGAGGCAAGGGTCCCTGAACTGCATCCCTTGAGGAAGTGGAAGCAAAAGGAAGGGGATGTCTACACTGCTGTCCTGAGCCCGTTCAACTCTCATCTTATGCCTGGTGTACTCGGGGAACAGACACTTGTTTCCTGGGACTGTTCATCTGTGTGCCTATGCAAAAAGCCCCTAGGAACATAGAAATTTTTAATTAACTCCAGAGCCGATGAAATTAGGGACCTGTTGAAAGAAAGCCAATGTTATAATGGGTTGAGAATTTGGGGGACCTTGGGGTAGGGCAAGTGTGCTTTGCATGTGTGATAAATGTAGGAGCCAGAGAGACTGTGGTAAACAAAAGAATGGTCCTCCAAAGCTGTCCATATTGTAAACCCCGGTCTTGTAAAAATGCACTGTACAGCAAACGAAGTGTGCCATAATAAGAAATCTGTATTTGGTCTTTGTCTTGGGTTCCTGGCACAGGAAACTCCTTAACTTTCCTCAATGAAAGGGGCATCTTTTGTTATTCATAACAAGCCCCATTTGCTCCTGCCAGAGTTCAGGCTAGTGAGGTAATTCCCGCAGAGTTCAGAAGGGTGGATGGCCTGACTTCGCCTTTAGAGGAAGAGAGAGGGACCAGGACTGAACTTAGTTATCAATGAATGGCCAGTGATTTAACCAACCCCACCTGCACAAGGGGGTCTGGAGAGCTTCCAGGCCGGTGAAAGGAGGATGGCACACCCAGAGAGGGCATGGAACCGGCACCCACTGCCATGCCGGCCTGTGCCCGTCTCTCACGTGGATGCTCTGAGGTGCATCCTTTATAGTAAGCATAAGAGCATATAAACAGCATCCTTAGCTCTGTGAGTACTTCTAGTAACTCATCAGACCTTAGGAGGCTCGTGGGACTCAACTTCCCCCCACCCCCAGAACCGCAGCCTGGGCACTCCGTTTGCAGCTGGCATCTGAAATGGTAGCAGTCTTCGGGACTGAGCCCTTAAGTTATGGGATCCGATGGGATCTGTGGGACTCCCCACAGACAGTGTCAGAACACAACTGAGTTGTCCAACACCTAGCTGGTATCAGAGAATCTGAAGTGGCTGGTGTCAAGATCTCTGTAGATGTGATTAAATGATTATGGTCTGAGAGAAAGATTATTGTGGGTTATCCAGGTGGGCTGATCTAGTAAGGGTCCACAGGAAATGGACTCACAAAGGTCAGAGTCAAAAAGAGACATCTGTTAGATGCCACACTACTGTTGTACCTATGTGTATGTATGCATGTGGTGCTAGGGATTGAACCCAGGGCTCTGCTCTGAGCTACACCCCCAGCATTCCCGGTCCTTTCTAAATTTTGGACAAGGTCTTGCAAAGTCACCTAGTTCCACATTCAGCAGTCCCTGACTGCTTAAACTCTTCAATTCCTCTGCCTCTGCCACCTTAAGGAGTACCAAGACGTCACATGTGCTCCAACCACGCCTAGCGCTGTTGTTTCTGGAGATGGAAGATGGGGCCATGAGTCAAGGAAACAAGGCAGCCTCTAGAAGGTGCAAAAGACAAGGCAATGAATTCTCCTCTAGAGCCTCCAGAAAGAACCAGCCCTGCAGATACTCAGACTGTAGGTCAGGAGGGCTGACTGTGGACTTAGGAACTCCAGACCTGTAAGACACAAACCCTCTGTTATTTCTGGCCCTAAGTTTGTGGCAATCTGTTACAGCAGCCAACAGGAAGCTAATCCCGCTCTGTGACTTCACTTCTCCACAGCATGAGACACTGACTCATAAAGAGAAGGCCCCTGCTCTCCACCAATCAGATGCCAAAACCCTGTAGTGAAAGGAGCTTGTGGAACTAAGTGACTTTGCAAGACCTTGTCTCAAAACTTAGAAAGGAGCAGGGATGCTGGGGATGTAGCTCAGAGCAGGGGCCTGGGTTCAATTCCCAGTACCGCATACCTACATACACAAAGGTACAACAGTAGTGTGGCATCTAACAGATGTCTTTTTTTGACTCTGTGGTGTTCTCTCCATGCCCCAAGCCCAAAGGGTCAGGGCCACTGCTTCTCGCCTCTTCCCTCAGGATGAAGACATGGGGAAGAGCTCAGCACCACCTCCAGGAAGAGGCTGTTCCACTTCCGCTCTTGCTTAGACATAGACAGATGGCTGCCAGGCTACTGGGCCTGCTGCCTATCTCTTTGCAGCAAGTATGCTAAGAATGGTGTTTGCCTTGTTAAATGTTTGGGAGAAAAAAAATCGAAAGGATACAACTTTACACCATGATAATTTCATGAAATTCCAAATTCAGTGGCTCAAAAGTGAAGCTTTACTGGAACATATTCAAGCTCACTCATTAATACTGTCTGTGACTGTTCTCACCCTACACCAGGAGAATTGAGAAACTACAGAAACAGCAATCACACAGCCTTCTTATGTATCTGCTGGCTCTTTATAGAAGCAGTGCGGTGACCCCAGCAATGGGAGTCACACTCACATGCAGAGGTAACTGCTTTGAACTGTCTTCCTTAAGCAAGTCCTCCAGCTTCACGGGAACTCCCAGCTTGCTCTGCTGTATCTCAGCCCCTACCATACATAAAGATCCAGGCCTGAGACGCATCATGCTTTTTGATTAACTTCTTACTAACAATTTTGTAAAAACCAGAAAAAAATATATAGTTTGTAAACTGAATCCTGCCTGACCAGCTCAGAAATACTGACTTTAGTTAAAGTTGGCTGTGAAGTTCTTAATAAAATCTCTTATATTTTGGACTAGAAAACTGTTACTCGGGAGATAATGCCCTAAATGGTTGGAATTTCCCTGTGAAAGTCATCAGGGACTATAGGATAACATAATCCTAGAAATTCAGACAGAAAAACTAGTATCCTTAATTGTTCGTTTTCTTTTCCACCAACCTAAGTTGTGTGCTGTAAAGACTTGTTATCACTGCACGCACCGCCCTTGGATGGCCATACTGGGAGACTGCTGTTATTTTATTTGCTATTGCATTTATTTTTGTAATATTTGAACTTTTATCACTTGCAAATTTTGCTCAAAAAAATAAAATTGTTTTAAAAGAAAGTAATATTTTAATCTTGTACAGTCAGAAATGCCACACACACATCATCCAAGTACACAGACCAGGGAGGCATTTCGCCAAGTGATCTCATCTGCCCCTCACTGCCATCCCATGTTTTGGGGGAGAAAACTGATACTCAGAATGGCTTTGTCTCTTGTCCAAGGTCACATGACTATGTGAAGGATGGAGAAGTCCCAGGCAATAGGACCAGCGCGCAGGCCTCCGGTCAGGCACAGCCGCCTGCTTTAGAGTCGGATGCTGGGAGTCAAAGAACATTCACAGGTGCTAATGCTTATTCAGTGAGTGACTTTAGAATGCATTTTTTTAAACCTATCCTAATAAGTTTCTTCTTCTATAAAAATGGAAAATGGTAGTGTACTATGTTTTCAGTTTGTCCTAAGAATTACACAAAACACTGTAAACACTGTGCCTGGCACAAAGTCTGGTCCTGGAGCTCATGTCCTTGTCCAAAGAAGCCAGCAGAGTGATATCCCACACCCCTTTAGCGGGCTTCCTTGCCTGGAAAAGGACAAAAGGTAAGAGCTCTCTAGCCAGATGCTTCTAGCACAGAGCTAGTTCTGTTATAAAATATTAACTATTAGTAGCAAGATTATTTTTGTTTTGATCTATGTTTCTGCAAATGGATGGCAGACTTAGTTTTAGCACTGGAGCTAACCTCAGTCTTTTCCCTATTCCTTTGATCTTAAAAATTTCATTAATCATATTAAAGCCTCAAGCATAAAACTGTCTAGGTAGCAAAGGACATCCCTCAAATGGCTTCTGGACTAGCCAGCCTCACCCATCACAGTAGTGACAGGGGGCCTGGAGGCTGTATCTACATGAAGGTCCAGGAAAGAAAGCCTGGGCTCCCAGCGGTGGCTCCTGGCTTCAAGTAAAAATGTTAATAAAAAGCAGATTCCACAAAATAAAAAAGGAAAGATGCTAGTTCTAGGAGGAGAGGATAACAAGGCAAAGAAAACAGCAGGGTGGGGCAATCTCTCTCTCATATTGTTTAACTGCTTTTTAAAACGTGCATGTTATAAAATATGAAATCAGACTTTGGAACTCTACAGTCTTAAGACAGATCACTTTCAAAATTTACAAAACATGGTTCTTGTTCAAAGTAACTAATGAAAACATTTTCAACTAAGAGAAGTGAGGCTAACAACTGCCTATAAACTCAGGTGGGAAGAATCATCCAAAACAGAATCAAACTTAAGTTCAAACTGCTGTCATACACAGAACCACAGACCTTAAAACACATTACAAATAAAAACAGGAAATCTAAGTAACTCCTAAGGTTAAACACAATCTGTTCCATGCTGGGCATCATATGCTGGTGTGACTGACCCTAAGGGTATGACACAGAGAGGACATGCTTCTCCCCTGCGGTGGTAAGGGCGAGTACAGAAAAGCAACAGGTGATCCCACAGAAACGATTCTTAACAGTTAGCCCCATACGACAGAACGAGCACGCACATAAACGCAGAAATACACTCAGGGTACAAGTGTCCCGTGAGGAATACTACCTGATGGAGTTCTGGTTCACAGAGCACTCTATACAGGCATTCCGGAGACACCGGAAGCACTCCGTTATCAACTGCAGGCTGGAAGCCAAATGCTCCACTTGGGTTGGATCCCTGCAGGCCAGCTCAACAACATGAGAAGATCTCTTCAAGATGTCCAGGACTCTCTGAAAGATTGTCCTGGGTGCGGTTTCTCTGGAAGAGGACAAAATTGTTACAAACTAGGAAAAAAAAAAGATTCTAATTTTCAAATGATCTGTTCAGAAATTGCTTTACCTACTTCTGAGGGAGGTGGGCTGCACGTGTGTGTCCCAGCTCCTTAATTACAATACAGAACACAAGCTCTGCACACACAGGTGCCTACCACACACCAGGCACTGCTCAGCCCTGTGACTCCAGTATCCCACCCTGTAACACCCAAAGGCAGCTCAGCTCACATGACTGTTCATGCTCCTGGACCTGCCCTGCCACCCTATGTGCGCCATTGTGAGAAACATTCACGAGCGCCAGCTGGAAGGTGAGCGCACAACCCACCAGGATGAGGTTAAGGCCACAGCACCCATACCACGCTCCCATGTGTCTAACCACACAGGCGAGAGGCAGAGGCACGGTGTGAAGGGCGCCAGTCTCCAACCAGGAACGCAGGCTGGGAAGGTGGCGCTGCAGTGACCCCCTAGGCCTCTGTCTGTGGCAGCCTCTCATGCCAGGACTACACTGGCTATCTGTCCAGAGCTCTCAAGATAAGAACCTTTTTGTGCAACTTGGTTCCTAAATTCGAGCCAAATCCTCACTCCATAAATCCCCTAAAGAAATAGCAATCTGAATGTCAGAAGAAAAACACTGCCATGTTGGACCATTGAAGAGTCTCTGGCAAACGATCTGTATCTGTGTTCTCCTTGTCCTCACCAGGCAGTCACAGGACCCTACATTTATTGAACCCCTGAATAATGCCAGAGCACAAGGGAGCTGAAATGTAACCCCAGCACGGCCACCCTGAGCTGCTAGAGGCTGCAGAAGACACTCCACAGGTGTCCCTGTCCTTCTGGGGCCAGGAGGCACTTCCCGTTCGTAAGCTTCAGCGCCAGGACTTCTTGCATGTCACATGTGTGTCTGTCTTGCGACGAGACTAGAATCACATGGTTCATCATATTTTCTTGTGTGTCTAGGCCCTCAGTGAGCCTGGAGTCAAGTTTGTGGTCACATTCAACAATAGTTCCTATTGGGCTTTTCCCTTTTCTCCAATTTCCTCCCTTGGTTTGATTTGATTTGGTTTTGGGCTGGTGCTGGTACTGGGGATCAAATCGCAGCAAGTACTCAACACTGAACTGAACTATATCCTCAGCTCCCTCCACTATCTTTCATCTTTCTTTTTTGTACCAGGGATCAAACTCCAGTCCTTACGCTTTTGAGGCAGGCGGCAGCACCACTGAGCTAAATCCCCGGCCCATATCTTTCATCTTTTTAATTGTATTTTTCAAGACATCTCAAGTTTGTTTTGAAAAAGAAGCAGAGTATAAATTAATCACTTGAAAATAGGTAAACACATAAAATGTGCCTGGATCTCCCCAGTCAGCCCTCTCTCTGTGTGTCTGGAAACGCTGACCCAGTGTCTGGGATGCGAAACCCAATGAAAATAGTGAAATTCAAGGGTACAGCATTAACCCTGCCTCGGGCAAATGCATGAAACAATGGAACATATGAGATGTTTTTTGTGACAATGTTGCCATGAAAAGAACCCACTGGCACTCCCCAGGTGGCCTTAAGGAGGACTGAACATCCTGCAGAAAGTACTCAGGCATGGAAAACTCTTCAAAGAACACCAAGGGTGACCACAGCGCCTATGACAGACTGTAAGTCCAACTCCACTACATAAAGTTTAGTAACATTTATTATTTAATGTTACAAATAAAAACAACCTCTACAACCTCAACCGTCTCTAATAATACCTCCTTTTTCTACACAGCTAGCTAAGAAATACGAATTTACACACGCCTATGATAAAGGAGCCACCCTTACTTCTCTCAGATGGTCCTCTGTGCTCTGCTTTTCTAGGGGCTCCAATCTTCCCACCAGCAAGTTTCCCTTCCAAGGCAGGGCCAATCCTGGGAGCCTTGTGCCAATCAGAAAAGATAGCAGTATAGCAAAATCCTGTATGAAGCTGGGGCACAGACTACACGAGGTAGAAGAAAAGCAACATTCTCAGGAAAACTCTTATTTCAATCACAGAACGGCACTCACTAGCTATCCTCTGAACATTCCCAATGTCGTTTCATGTTAACTCGTCGTATACGTACCATGCTTTCAACACACACACAAATGCAACTGAACTAAAGCCAACCAAACAATTCCTGAAATCCAAATAACTAATACCACCTACTAAAGAAGAACCCATACGGTAGCATCCAGCCCAAAACTGTTTACTGTAAAAGGGACAGTCTCTAGGCTGTCCACCCACGGATTCAAACGCACCTCCAGGCCCCGTCAGTGCTTGAACACATCCTCCCACGGAGATGCCGTTTCCACACCAGGCCTACCCAACCCTCTCCTGAGAGAATCTTGCATATCCTTTTTTAAAAAATCGTTTGAAACAGGCCTGGCGAAACTCTTCTGCTATGCCAGGTGAGCTGGCTCCCATCTCTGCTTCCTGGAACTGTTCCAAAGGCTGCAGCTAACTTGTTCACATCCTTGATAGCAACTTGGCCTTGTCTGCTCTCCCGGCTGGACTCCATGGCCTGAGAAGCAGAGACCGCAAGAACTTTACTCTCTTCTGTACCTCCAGGGCCCAGGAGGCACTCACCAGTAGAACTGACTCAAGTGGGGCCTAAACAGCGAAAGAACTGGCTCGACCAGAACGGCCTGTGCCCCCAGGACACCGTGTTACGTGGTCGAGGCACTTGATGGCAAGAGCAGTTACCCGTGCTCTCAGAAGAACACCAGCTCAAGCTTCCCACTGAGAGCCACACATTCTAGACACTGAGACTGTAAGATGTGGAATAATGTAAACAGTTACTTAGGTCTAATGACTAAACAAAATAGCCAGTTAAGTCAGTCATTCCTATATCACAAACATGAATAATAATTGCTGTCATTTCTCTTTAACCAAACTAACAAAAAAATTCACAAAAGCCTTAAAAAGCTTAGCTACCTCATTCACAGAAGGCAGAAAGGCACTTACAGGGACAATTAAAATTCAACCGTTAGACATTCCTATTACATAGGAATGCATACCCTGAAGACAATGTATAAATGAAATGTTACATTACAGACAAAAAAATCCTTTGAATTACACAAAAGGTAGCATTTCATTTCCTTCAAGTTTGAACAGATCTGTAGGTTTAATCTTGGCAAGTCCTGCTTGAGTAAAATTGAAGAAAACTACCTGTGATTATATGTCACAGTAAGACGGCCTAATATACTGTATGTGTACACATTTTACAGTTAATTCATCAGCTGGGACCTCCTACTGAAAAGGAAGCTAAATACAAGTCATTGTAATACAGCAACTAAGACTCTCACACTTGTTAAAAGATTTATTCTAATACCTTCCCGTTCATTAAAAACTGGCGTATGTGGTTCAGAGTAGTTTAACCACTGTCACTGAGAAAAATGATTAAAATACACACAAGTTCAGAGATTAAAATAACAATCTCTGGTTGTTATCTAAAACCATAAACCTCACTCACTGATTTGACCAGGCTAGATTGATCAAAACCAGAAATAATACATTTCTACCTCCTGCCACAAACAGCCCAGGGTGAAATGTTGCAATCCAGCTTCAAAGAACTCCAACCTCTCCTTTGTACACGTCCCAGCCCACCCTGTCAGGTCCAGGGCACTGAAGCTGTCCCCCACATCCCACATCTCCATCTGGCAGAGCTGCAAAGATTTTCCACAAAGGGCCCAACTGTAAACACATTAGGCCTTGATTCTCAGAAGGTCTCTGCCACCACAGCTTCTCAGGCCGGGTCAGCACGCAGCCATAGGTGATACCTAAACCAATGCGCACGCCTGGGTTCTAATAAAACTCTACTGTGGACACAAAAATTTAAAGTTCACATATGTTTCCTGGGTCATGAAATTTTATGTTTCCCTCCAACCGTTTAAAAATGTAAAATTAGAGACAGGCGTGGTGGCACACGCCTGTAATACCAGCTACCTGGGAGACTGAGGCAGGAGAATCACAAGTTCAAGACCAGCCTGAGCAACTCGGGGAGACCCAGTCTCAAAGTTTTAAAAGGACTAGCGGTGCAGCGCAGTGGCAGACCACTTGCCTAACACACGCAAGGCCCTGAGTTCAATCTCCATCCCCTCAGGGGTGGGGAGTAAAAAATCATTCTTAACTCACAGACCACAATAAACAGGTGGTAGGCCAGATTTGGCCTTAGTCTGGCAACCCTACTTTAATAGGTTCCAGACACACCAATCTTCTCCTGACCCCAAAAATCAAATGCTTCCATCTTTCGCCCTCACCACATTCAAAGTTCATTTCCTCACAGCAAAGAGACGTTCAAATGCATTCAGCTGAATGAAAGAAGCTAAGAAAAGGCCAAAGTGGCCCCGAGATGGAAAATAAACCCTGGACAGAAAGCACCAGTCCAGAAACAGAAGAGCACGGGTGGGAATGTGCTGAGAAAGACAGGCGGGGGAAGGCGAGGCTGCTGGGCAAGACGACTGCTCTCCACGGGTGGGGTGGGGGTTGTCCCACTGTTAGGAGAGTGCAGACCCCAAAAGTACCTTCAGGTGGGCTTAGGAACAGAAAAAAGGCAAAACCATCAAACCCCGGAAGAACACATATGGTATCTTCACAATCTTAGTAGAAAGACTTTGTATGCAAGATGTTAAGAACTTTATTAAGGGCCAGGGATTTAGCTCAGTGGTTCTGCTGCCTGCCTCACAAGTGCAAAGACCGGAGTTCGATCCCCGGTACCAAAAAAAAAATTTTTACTAAAATCCTTAAGAGCGATGTTGGTGCACAGTACTGAAGAGAGGGAGCCAGCTATGTGCGGGCCTCCTGGAGAAGATCCTGGGTGGGGGGCAAAAGCGCCTGGGCTGAATGGAAGTCAGGCCAGGCTTGCCAGAGCCCATGGGGGATGAGAGAGTAATGCAGGACAGAGGAGAGAGGGGGCCACACACACAGGCCCCACAGCGGAAGGGCAGTGGCTTTCATGCCGACATGAAGCCATGGAAGGCTCTGGGTAGAGGAGTGGCAACAATTAATTGATACTGTGTGTGTGTGTGTGTGTGTGTGTGTGTGTGTGTGTGTGTGTGCGCGCGCGCGCGCGCGCGCGCGCTACTGGAGATTGAAGGCAGAGCCTTCACACTGAGCTACATCCCCAGATCTTTTTTCAATTTTTTTTTCTTTTTGAGACAGGATCTTATTAAGTCACTAAGTTGCCCAGGCTAGGCTGAAACGCGTGATCCTCCTATCTCAGCCTGTCCAGTGATGAGACTACAGGAGTGCCCCACTACACTGGCCCTCATTTATATTTTTAAAAGATACTATCAGCTGCTCTTTAAAGAACTGATTAGAGGAACAAAAAGTAAAGATACCAAGAGATCAGGGAGGAGGCTACGCAGCTCAGAAGAGTAAGAAGAGATCTGATTCTGCCTATTTTGGAATGATTAACAAATAGGATTTGATGAAAATTGTTAAGGGGGTCATATGAGAAAGGACAGTCCAGGGGACTCCAAAACTTTGGCCTGAGGAATAAGTGGAAAGATGCATCTACTGTTTACAGAAAGGGAAACAGAGACGATTATGAGGCTACTTGAGGTGGAAAAGGCCCCAAGTTTGGACTGGGCTTTGTTAAGTCTGAGGGCCTATCAAAAGCACGAGTGGAAGGCTGGGTGTGGCTCAGTGGTAGCACACCTGTGCCCTGTGCTCAGTCCCTCACACTGCCTATAACCCCAGCACTTGGGAGACGGAGGCAGGAGGATCACCACGAGTTCAAGGCCAGCCAGGGTTACACAGTGAGGCCAAGGCCAGCCTGCACTACATAGCGCGACCCTGTATTCAAAAAGAAAAGAAAGAGAGAGGGCAGAAATATGGAAGAAACAGGCGAAGAGACAAACTGTAGCTCCAGAGAAAAGACCAGCTAAGAAAATGTCTCCAATGCAGGGAAGTTGTCTGAACCCCAAGACTTAAGGAGACCACTGTGGGGCGCAGTGCAAGTAGAGAGAGAAGTGAGTGGTGAGTGGATTCTGAGATCTGAAAAGGGAACACAGCTCAGGAAATGGAGAAAAAGAGATTTTCTCAGGATGGAAACTACCTACACCGGATCTCTTGGCAATTTAAGAGAGAGAGGAAAGGAGAAATTTCTAGAGCAAAGTGTGCAAAAGGGAGTAGAAGCCACCGCAAAGCTGAGGGAGCCAGCTCAAGAGCCAGAAAGTTCACCCGTGCAACAGAATGGAAGGCAGCCCGCGGGCGCGGTCCGAGTGGGGCAACAGAGTTCCTGGAATTCTCTCCCTTCCGGCTGTTCCTGTCTTCGCAGTAAACAAGGCGCTGGAAGTGGGGATTTAAAGAGAGTGAAAGACATGAAGCAGCTGACTAGGAGACGGGAGATTAACGTGAAGGGAAAGAGTACAGCACGGCAGGCAGGGACAACACCACCCGAGGTGCCTGGCCACGGATTTAAGACTGGAGGGTGTGGAGAAAAAGACACTCTTACGCACTGGAAGTGGAATGTCACTCATCACCCATGAGGGAAAATTTAAGTGGGGTCCTCAAAAAACCACAAGCACCCTATGATGCAGCAGTCCCACTTCTGCACATGACCCCACGAAGCCGGATCAGCACGCTGAAGGGACACTGGCACCCCATGTTCAAGGCAGTGTTACTCACAAGAGCCAAGATGCAACATTGACCTAGGGTCGGTCCGTCAGCAGATGAAAGGATGAAAACAGTGAAATACTATGCAGCCTAAAAGGGGCAATGCAATGAATGAGTGAAATGAATGAATCTGCAGGACAACCAGCCAGGCACAGGAAGACAACCACTGTACCACCTCACTTACAGGTGGAATCTCAGGGAAGTAGAGCAGGATGCTCATCAGAGGCTGAGGGGTCGGGAGGGAAGACAGGAAGAGCTGCCCATCGAGGAGCACAAGGTTTCGTGCAGACAGGATGGACAGATGCTGAGAGCTACTGCACACCCGGGAGACTGCAGCCAAGAATAGTCTACCGTAGATTCCAAAGTAAGTAAGAATAAATTCGAAATGTCTCATCATACCAAAAATGATAGGTGAGCACCGTGACGGGTAAGATAATAAGCTTGAGTTCACCATTTCACATGCCAGGTGTGGTAGCACACACTTGTAATCCCAGCTACTCGTGAGGCCGAGGCAAAGGATCGGGCGTTCAAAGCCAGTCTAGGCAACATAGTGGGACCCTGACTCAAAGTAAAATTTTACAAGGGCTGGAGATGTAGTTCAGTGGTAAAGTGCTTCTATGAGGACCTGGGTTCAATCCCCAACACCACAAAAACAAATTCACATATATAGAAAATATCCCATTGTACCCCATAAACATATATGATTATGAATCAAAAATAAGTTTAAAATTAAATTTAAAGCATTTTAAATACAGTAAGGCCAATCAGCATGGTTATATAGCAGCATTTTAAAGAGACAGTCGGTATGGCTGCATGTTTTTCTCCAGCCTCATCCTGTTACTTGGGAGCTGCTATAAACAAGCTGGGTTTACCCAGAGCTGGGGTTCTACCAGCCAAGCACAAAAAGTTACGAGCGGGGCAGAGAGTCCAAGATGCGTACAAGGAAATGCTTTTACTGCTGATCCCCGGATCTAGGTTGGATTAAGAAGGGAATGTGAACATCACAAAGGGGAAGGAAAGACAAAGAAGGTAATGGCAGGAAGCAGGGTCAGCAGATGATAGGTCAGTGGTGTTGAAGATGTGGAAGGGCCCTGACAGAAGAGAAGACCGGAAGAGGAAGTGGGGCTGCTGACGTTGTAGAACCCTAAGAGGGTCCAGGTGAAGACCTGCAACTCGAAGGCCAGAAAGGGTGGGGGCTCAGCTCACTAGAGGAGAAACAAGGAATAAGAGCTCTGAGAATAAAAGGAAAATCTAGGTAAGGTTGTAGACAACAGGAGCAATACAGAGTTACCACTCACAGCACTAAACCTTTCAAGGAACACGATGGAGTGACTTACAAATCTCTCAGCTGCACAAGTGATGACGCAGGTGGTACGAGGTGGCACACTGTAATGGTATGAGATTAAAAACTATAGGGGTATCGAGGAGAAAGATTTGCAAGCAGCAGTGACAATCAAGAACGCCTACCACCCTTCAGCCTAGTGGTGCACTAAAGGCAAGAGGGCACACTCCCCTACAGCCTCTGGGAAACCAGGTTCTCAGACGTGAATTTCTTTCCTTCAGATCAAGAAGAGGAAAGAACAGTTCAGAGATGCTCAGGATACAGGGAATTCTGCCACAGGCACAGGGGGAGGGTTTGAAGAGCTGGGAAGTAATGAAAGGATTCCTACAAAAGCTTTAAGGGGGTAAAGTCCAAGAAATGAGAAAACCTATTTTCCCAATGATGAATTAGAAAACTCACTTGTGAATTTGCAGCAAAATGTTCATTGAGACTTTATTTGAATGGCACTGAATCCATGGGTCAATCTGGAAAGAATCTGTCTTTGTTATGGAGGTTTTCCTATAATGTGGGGTGGCAAGGACAATAAAAGCTAACACTTGAGCCGTGCTTACCGTGTGCCTGGTAGTCTTCTAAGCACAGGCATGCACGCTCCCCAAGGGCTATGAGGACTCTCATGCACTCACAAGTTATCTGTAGCCATCAGAGAGCCTGATCAGCCTGGTGACCATCCATGGGTTCCTTGCTGCCCAGTGCCTTTGCTCACAGTCTGGAGACCAAGCCTTTGGGTCCAGTGACCACTAAAAAGACCGGAAGAAGGGAAGAGCTGAAGCTTCCCTCTCAGGGTTCTGGTAGTCCAAGTCTACCCTTATTTATTTTGATTTGCTAAGTCAGACTCTTTCCTGCCTACTTCATGCACTTAAGATAATTGAATGTGAGAGATGGCCCGCAGTAACCACATCTGTATTTTGAAACTGAGTCAGAACACCTTAGCAAATAGTTCCATGTGGCTCTACAGCTCACGGCATAGGTAAAAATAAAGGAAACTGTCATTGCACTGCAAAAAGTTCTTTTTATAGAGTAACTTAATTGATGTTCTCTCTCAACAAAGTTGAACTGAATCACAGCTGAGTCAAAAAACCATATGGCATCCTTGGTAAGTGGTGACTTGTGTGGGTTTTTTGTTTTGGGGGGTTTTCCTTTTGTTTTGTTCTTTTGGTGCAAAGACTCCTGCTGGCCGCAGGCTCAGCAGTGTTGGGGGAAACCCGTGTGTGTGTGTGCGCAGATGAGAGGTTTATTTTTACTTCTGTGGTGTACTGACCTCTAATGTGCTCCATCTATTCACTCTGTGGAGTTCAGTCAATGTGTCACACAAGCCGTAAGAACACAGTCATCCTCTGCCCTGTATCAGTCATCCGCCATAGCTATTATTTCTTGGACCTTCTTAGTCGTTCTTCTAGGCTCTCATTTTATACATAAATGACTCAAACATTACTAGACAGTCAAGAAAATAATAAAAAATACTTGTGAAAGTGTATTATGTGTTAGATGTGAAAGCAGTGTGAAGAGCACAGAGGCAAGCAAGAAGAATCGTGCCCCCAGGTTGCTCTTGGGACTGGCAGGTAATAACATGCTTAGAATGCTCTATGTGAAGTTCTGGAAAAGAGGCGAGAGTGCCAGGGAAACTCAGAGTGGAGGCTCCCAGAGGTCAGAAAAATTTCCGGGAGGTGTGGAGATAGCAATCAAATCTTGACAGAAACTCAACAGTGATTATGCACAGAGGAACAAAGATGGCCTACGCCTAAGAACAGTACTAAGCATCTGAGTTACTCCTATGCTAGTGGTGGAGGCAAACGGAGAATTCTCAGTGCACTATAGCAACTATTACTGCAGCACAAAACACTGAGCATGGGGCTGGCGATTTAGCTCAGTGATTCTACCTCCTCCCTCGCAAGCACAAGGACCAGAGTTCGATCCCCAGTACCAAAAAATAAAAATAAAACACTGAGCATGGCAGGTACATCTGTGGGGTGAGGACGGGAATGAATAACGTGACACACTAAATTGATAACTTCTAGTGACTAGAGGGATTATGATTGACTGGTGCTCTGTCAGTTCTGAGCAAACATTTTTCTCTTTGGCACCAATGGCTCTGCATGTATTTAGTTCATTTACTGAGGGAACCCTGCTAGGAGACATCACAAAGGCAGGAGTCTCTACCCTACAGAAAGACAGATAAAAGGCTGTAGCTGCATTATGAAAGGAAAAAGAGAAGTACATTCCAAACAATGCAGGACGTTTATTTCTTTACAAATTATAAATGTAGGGCTGGGGATTTAGCTCAGCGGTTCGGTGGCCTGCCTCGCAAGCACAAGGACCCGAGTTTGATCCCCGGTACCACAAAAAAAAAATATATATAGATATATATATAT